AAAAGATTGGATTTAATTACCCAAGTGATCTTCTTCAGATGAAACACAGCTACTTCTCTCTGTCTTTGATCACACGACCACATTCCAATCCCTTTATTATCGTAGTCACTCCCCCTTCGAACCTCCTTAGTCTCTCTACATCTTTCTTTAAAATGACGTACCCGGAATAAAACACAATGCTCCATTTAGGTCTAAGCAGTACTGAGTGCAGTGGTGCAATCCCTCCCACATCTTGCATGAAATACTTCTGTTAATATGACTCAAAAGAAGTATTTGGTAAATCATGTCAAGTCTGCGATCTGCAGAGCCCTACAACTTTCTTGGAAATGCTACTGCCTAGACGGTTATCACCCATTTATGTGTGGGCATTTGTTTTTTCTTCCCTAAATGCACTACTATACATTTCATCTTTGGATTTCATTTTATTTTGCCGAGCTCAACTCTCTAATTTATCAATTCCTTTTGAATTTTAATCCTAGCCTCCAAAATATTTGCAACCCCTCCCAATTCATGCTGTCTACAAGTTTGATCAGTGACTCTTCTATCCCTGCATCCAAATTCTTAATAACCATGTTTAAACAACAGTGGATCCAGAGCAGACCCCTGTGAAACCCCTGCTGAGACCTCCTGCCAGTTCTGACATCCCTTTGCTTGCAGTTTTCAGCATATTTCTTTCTTGCCCACATTTCTCCAACTTACTTATGAGAATGGCATGTGGAAGTGCGTGAGAAGCCTTACTTAAGTCCAGGAATACTATGTCCACCACATTCCTCTTATTCGCATGATTAGTTACCCTGTCAAACAAAGAAATCAAGTTGGTTATTCAAGCTGGTTTTTGCAAGTTGCTTTTTTACAAATCAAGTTGATTACGTCTTCCTCCTCCAGATGTTTACAAACTGACTATTCTGTAACTGAGCACTGGACCCATAGGTCTTCTGGCATTTTTGTTCGTCTGCCATATTTGTAAAGCCACTTTTTGTTGTGTTTTACATCCCTGGCTAAGTGTATTTAATTTTTCGCATTTGCTTTCCTGTAAGGATCCATATTAGAAAATTTGTATTTGGGGAATGAAATCCATATACAATTGATCTACTTTCACCATTGCTGACTCCAAATGTATTGAAACCAAGGTAGGTCCCTATGAACAGACTGAATTAAGCAAAACCAATTTAAAAGATCTAAACCATTTTTAGCAAAATATAAATTGGTTTAAATGCATCTATGTGAGCAGTTTATAGCTGTGTACCTACATTGATTTAAAAATAATTTCCGTATAATTATGCCAGTGCAACCTTGCTAGCATTGTCAGGAATACATGATGAAGGGTTTATCAGTAAGGATTTGCCTAATCCTCCATGCAGGATAGCTCTTTGTATTCACTATGTGGCTAGTCTCAAGAAGTCACCTAAGTGTGAATGGGTCAAGTGTCTGGGCCCCAGGAATAGCCTTGGGAGAGGTCTGGTTGGCTTTTACAGTTCTTTTGAGGTAAGGAGAGGGGTGATGATTAGGCTTGACAGTCTGAGCTGAGAAGCACAGGGATAGGGTGCAGTAGAAAGATAGGATTTTCTGTGGAAATGTGGAAAGAGTTGGATAGCTGAGGGGGTTAATCCTCAAGGAAAGATCATTTGCATTGCTGCACACCCTATTCTTTTGTTTTCTGTTGGGGAAGGGGAACCTTCAGCACCGACTCTGTTAGGTTATTATTCGATCTGCTTCTCTGATGGAACAAAAGAACCTTTATTGTTCATTGAAGACCATGGCAGTTCCACCTGCTTACACCAGGGTGGGATTTGACCCAGTGGCTCACTTACATAGGACAGGGAGATGGTCTCTTTCCTTCATAAAATACAAGTGAACAGCATTCATACATAATAGCAGTTTTCCCAATATTAAAATCCTGAACTGAAGAACAGCAGCAGAGATTTGTATTATGTTCGGGTCTACCTCAGTGCAACCACAAGTGAAAGCGACTGGCGGGACTGGGAGTCTATGATGCGCGTTACTGGGAAGCAAGGTCTGTTCGGTGATGCAGGCTGGGCAGACGTGGAGCAGTGGAAGTGTTCCCACCTACCGCTACACTTCTGTTGTGTTCTCTCCCAGACGTGAAATAAGGTAAAGAGAAGCACAAAGGGGCCATTCACAGGGCACAAAATCGATTGATCTATCTATCTATCTGTTAACAAATGAAATGTGAGAGGATGGCACTGAGGAGTACATAGCATGACTCTTGAGTTTTGTAGGTCCAATAAAACATTTTGTGCCCTGTGAATGGTCCCTTCATGCTTCTCTTTACATTATTTCTTAGTCCTGACAAACCTACTCTGCCGAATAAGGAAGTATTAGTAAGAATTATATTGATGTATATGGATTTCCAGGAAAAATAATTTCCTATCCAAAGGCTTTAAACTTATATGGCCAGCATTAAAAATACAATTTCACTGTGATCCTCCATTGCGTTTGCACAGCCTCATTGACTTGTGGCAAGAAAGACCTGTATATAGAGCTCATTGTTATATTTTATTGTCATTTATTCAGGAATGAAGGAGAAGCAAGAAAAAATACCTGCTTTCTCTGTGCAACACCCTAATTCTACAGACACAAAAACTGTCAAATTCAAACATGAAGTCATAGAAAAGATGACGAAAAGCCAGGAAAGTACCATAATATAAAAGTACCATAGCTTTTGGATATTTTGAAATCTTTCTTGATCATGACTAACAGTGGCTCTGGGGGGTGGGACATACCTTTGAAATAAATAGATCTTAAATGTTTCTTAAAAATAGCATGTGACAGAACAATATCTACGGCCAAAGGCCCAGTCTACCAAAGCGTGGTCACCTGAGAAAGGACAGAAGAATCCCTTTTGGCCCATCCTAAGGTGGCAATTTATTCTTTATGTAATTAAAATGTGTGTACGTATTTGGAACCTTAGGAAGTGTTTATTTCTCTTGAATTGATCCTTAAATGCATGGGTGGTGTGGTGCATCATCGCATGTAACACAACACGTTTTTCTCCAATTAAAGATAAACTAGAAACTTGACCTAATATGGTAGGGGCCTAGCGCTACATTATTCAGTTTCATATCAAAGCAAATACAAATATAACTTCATGAATGCACACTAATTTGCTAGGTTATATATAAAGTTTTAAAACCTCCAGAAACTAGGCAAAAGATAGTCAAGAGACATTGTTTTATTAGTCCTGTAATTATTATATTTAAAAGTGCATCTCTTATTCAGATTTGTAAAACAAAATCTAGTGTTTCTGAGCATCTTAACAATGCACCCAACATTTCACTGTCAATCATTTCTACACCTGAGTTAATATTCACCTAAGTTAATATTATCACACCTGAGATAAGGTTTCTAGAGCCTAAAACATTTTCCAGGGCTGTGACTGACAAGAGAGCTAATGGAATGGCTAAGAGATAGCAAAACTGCAGAAGAAAGGATAGCTTGATTAATGGTACTTCTGAACAATTAAAACAATTCATGAACACCTATGGAGTGAAGAGAGATTAGCAGGGATCAGGCATTCTAGTGAGCCATTAGGTCAATTGACTCCCTCAGGGTTGCCTGAATAGAAATGCCCTTCCCTGTCCCAGGCAATTGGTTTTAAAGTCTGGGTGAAGCCGGAAACAAAGGGAGGGTGCAACTGCAGCACTGCACTCCCCTGGAGTCACCCCTGCTTGGAGCCATACTACAACAGTAGAATAAAACCATACTTAGGTATTTGCTTTGTGCATGGTTCCTAGCACAACAGCCACATGCGGTGGTTTGTGAGAGAAGCTGAGTGGGACACTGCAATTATAACCATGAAACAAATTCTCAAGCCTGACTTTTCAAAAGGAGCTACCAATTTCAGGAAAGGCCTTGAATTTTGGATGCTCAGATGAAGAATCATTACAGGGTCTGACTTTCAAGGGGGAAGGTGCTCAATACTCAGTTGCTGAGGGGAAAAAAAATCATGGGTCATTTTTGAAAACTTGGGTTCTCATCTTAGTATTGAAATGTGTATTTTCAGAGAAGAGACACCTGTCATAGATAAATTATTGAGGTTGATTCGATGCTTATTGCATCAAATTTCCTTTGTTGCAATTCCTTTAACTTCATTGAGTTGCTCCAGTTTTGCACTGATGTAGCGGAGAACAGAAGCAGAACTGTACACTTTTTCATGGGTACGATGTATAAGTGCTGCCTTATGTCCGCCAGAACGTGCTGCCCAGAATGCAATTCCTGGTGACGTATCTGATTAATATATGTATTTCCTTCCAGTCTGCATGATGTAATAAATGATACAGATAGTAACCAAGGCAGGGACCTTGTCATCTTAAGTCTCTGTAACATGTCTAGTGATTTATTTGTTTTTAAATCTAATTACAACAATAAATTAGGGCCTACCCTGGTAATTTCACCTTGCACAAGAAAACGACTTTGTAGGTAACAGTGGGAGCCATTGGAAATCAGTTTTATTCTCTCACCTGGGCTACAGGATTCTGGAATGAATTTAAATGGCAAATCAGCTCTACGTCTCAGCTGACTGTTATGTGAGAGTAAGGGTTGTTCAGATGATGGAGCCTTGAGTTGGTGCTCAGCAAACCTGGGTTTTATTCCTGAATCTGTTGCTAACGTGCTCTGTGATTTTTTTTTTTTAAAACCCCCAACGTCATTTCAAGTCCCTTGTAGCTCCGTTTCTCTGTGCATGTTACACCGCAAACTCTGTGGGGCTAAGCCTGCCTTTTACTACAGGCCCTGCACAGTGCAGCTCTCGTTGTAATACAAAAAAAAAGATGCTCTGCAAGGCCGCTGGAGTTTGGGGCAGCTTAAAAAGTGCCAGTAAAACCTTTCTCATGTGAGGGTGGAAGGAAAGCCAGGCACTCGGTGAGGAAAGCAGCTTTCTCTAGGACCTCGCAGAAGGCGGAGGGGTGGCGATGTGCTCCCCTGCACGGCTGACTGACAGACCCAGCTCTGAACCACCGCATTAATGAGAAACAGTGCAAAGCTCGGGGAGGGAATTAAGCGAGAGAGAAAGACTGGGGTTGGGATTCCTGCGGGGATCTTAGCGTGAGGGTTAGATGAAGCTCTTCAGGCAGGCGCAGCTGAAGGAGCAAGAGCAGGGACAAAAGGCGGCTTGCTGAGCATGAGGACTGTCCAGCCCCTGCCCCTGGCAGTGCGGGTCCCTGCCCTGCAGCAGCTGCCCCAGGGCCTTTCCCTAAGCCCAGCCTAAAGATCAGCCTCACAAGCACCCCCCTCAAGACGCACAACACTTCGAGGGGAGGATTTCAGGGATTGCTGGCCAGAAGCCATCTGGCTCCGGCAGCCCTGCAGTTCCCCCCTCCCAGCCTTCCTTGGAGCTGATCTAAGCCCCTCAGCGAGCTCTTTCCCGGTCCCTTCTCAGGGAAGGAAATGTGTCTGCCTGACAGTGAGCTTGCTCCGGTTACTCTGGATTGTTTCCTCCAGAGTTTGTGCCCCCAAGACTTTCCCCGCAACCATGTGAAGCAGGCGGCTGTCCCTTTGTGCTGGGAGGAAGCCTGGCTTTAAAAAAAGGGACCAAACTTGACTGCTGAGGCCACGGGGACTTCTCAGGGCTCCCCACCAACCCTGAAGACAAGCCTGGGGGGCCTGTTCGGGTGTGATCTGGCGCCAGCGGTGGGAGACCCTCAGCTTGTGGGGAGCAGAGCCTCTGCCCTTCATCATGGGCGGGTTAACAGGAGGTAAGAAACACAGAAGGGCAGAGGTGGCAACTTTCTCTCTCTGGGGAAAAGGAGATGCCCCTGCCCATGGGTGATGGGGGCAGTGGATGAAGAGCCCGGGTGGGGGGGGGATTTCCTCAATACAGGCCTGGGGAGGGGGCAAAGACGGCAAGAAGCTGGGGGGGATTTCCTTGTGGAGGGGACACCCGGGGCGGCTGGAGGCATGGGGAGGGATGGCGTGGGAGGGATGTCTGCCTGCCTCTGGGGATTTGGTCCAGGGGTCCCAGGTGGGGTTGGGGGGGCCCAGGGAGCCGGGGTAGCACCTGGGAGCAGGACAGCGTGGGCAG